GTTCTTGGTCCGGGTGCTGATGTCCCACCACCACTTCTCGTTTCGGCCTTGCTCTTCGACGATGTCCTAAGGGAAGACAAGCGACTATTGATGGAGGAAATCGCGACATCAAGGCACCTTTCTGAAGATCAGCCAAGGCTCTCCAAAAGGATCTTTCTCCTCTACCTGCCCCCTAAGCTGCTGTCCGCTGGGTCCGCTGGTAAAGAAGGGCTCAAAGAGCCTCGGCTCCAACTGCCAGGGGTCCGCGAGCCTCGGCTCCGCGAGCCTCGGCTCCGCGGCACACAGGTCCGAGACGGTCAAAAGTGAGAGAAGGACTCTGACGGCCATGGCAGATTAGGCTGTGGGACCTTGGGACCTGGTCTGGCCAAATGCTAACTACTGCTTCGAAAAAGCTTTGGGCCGATGTGGGAATTCTCCTTTCTTGCGCATAACCGCTGATGGCCTGCGAGGTGCCAGTGCAAGCACCCGTTCAACACCAAGCGTATATTATTAGCCATAACAACTCGGTGGCTCGCTGCGAATTCAAGGCTCCNNAAAAAACCTGAAACTACGCAGGCACAAAAAATAGCACCCCATCTCGCGACGCCAACATGCTGAGCTTGGCACCGGAGAGAAGGGCATCCACCTGAAGCGGACCAGTCATTGGGCTTACTTGCCAGCATTGCACTGCCTCCAACAGGCTTTGCCCTTGAACCAAGATCCACGGGATGGCCTGCAAGGTGCCCAGTGCCGCCGGTGTTGCGACGGCCTCATGTATTGATTGGAAGCATGGCTGTCAGCAGTGCGATGCGCGGACTGGTTAACCCGCGAATCCACACTGGGCGTGGCACCCGCTCTGCCCAGAAGTCGACGCAAAGCCAGCAGATCCGATTCACAACCTCTGCTCTGACCGTCTCTGTCTCCGACGGCTCCGATGGCTTTCTCCGAGGATGGCACAGGCAGGACCAGGGAGAGAAGCGGAAGACTGCCCGGGAAAAGCTTGCAGAGACCTCCAGCAGACTCCTCCCCGGAAAGGGATGTTGCTTTGACTCAAAACCTTCGGGGATGATTGAGGAATCATACAAAGTCAAAGGTGGATACACTATCAACTGCTTCGACGCTCTCGGACGTTTGTTATGGGCCATGTGCAAGTCGCAGAACTCTTAGCCGGCGGCTCAGCAAGAGCAAGGGAATGTCGTTCTGGAAAAATCGGCCCTGTAGCACGATGAGTCCACACTCATTTCTGGTTTAGCTGTGCTTAAAGTACTTCCATTCCGTCGCTGCGCCTGGGTCCCATCTCCAAAGGCCCATCGCCGTGATGATGGGTGCATGGCCTCCGCTCACAAAGTGATTCCCTCTGCCTGCAACATTCTGCAGCTGCAGTGCAACTTGTCCCTAGCTGGCACAACTGCATTGTGTGCCTCGGAGATCAACCACTGAGCCAAGCTGATGCTAGGGCTGTGGCCAGTCTCTGCAGGCATCTCAGATACCTGAGATGGGCGAGGGCGGCAACCGGAATTTCCCTCTCTGACGAGCATCGTTGAGGCTATCGTCCTCCACGATGCCGCAAATCTAAGCCTGGGCCGAGTGGCAGCAAGGCTCGCTCGAGAGGCATGCCAGGCCTCAGTTCAGCTGAGAGCCTCTTGGGTCAAAGCTCAACAGGCAGCACACAGAAGCATCAGCAAACGGTGAACTACAGTCAAACTGAAGAGAGCAGACAGGGACGTGAAGGCCGTACAGACTTGCCATACTTGCAGCCTGGGGGAGGCTAGCAACCTCAGACTAGTCCTAGGCAGTCTCAGCGCTGTGGGTTGCCCACTCAGCTTCGGCGGCCATGTTCCCTGGGGATCGAGACCAGTGAGCAGTTGCACAGAGGGGCTGAGAACCTACCCCACGTTCCAATGCCAAGTAAGCTACTGAAACACATGTAGGGCTTCTGGTCCGCAGCAGGAAAACTGTCCCAGCAAGCCTAGAACGAGGCGTAAGAAGTCGCATCGAGCCTTGGGTAACAAGACTGGTGCTGAGCCGCCGTCGTCTAGGAGTCCAAGAAGAATCCAAGTGCAAAAATAGTTGCAGCACTCTGTAATTTTTGTCATGGACTTGGCAGCCGCGCATAACATAATTTCTGCAACGCCTACGTGCCCTCTTGACTTCTGCAGGGTCCAACCTTGCCTTCCCAAACCCAAGAGCCTGAACTAGAATCACGCAAAACCTTCCAAGGCCCCGTAAATTAAAGTCCCGAAACCCACAACCTTAAACATCCCACGCCAATCCCCAAACCCTACCATCCAGTAAGTAGGCTGGGGGCTGGCGAGGCCAAGTCTACCAGGCATGCATCCAAGATCCGCTGCAGGGCGGCCTTTCGGGCTCTAGGGATTTGAGCTCTCCTATGTCTTATTGCTGCGAGGGTCTTCATTACGACTAGTCAAATCCCTACGAACCTTCTTCTATCTTTATCAGTAGTATTGTCAATACTGTTATTTGCATTCGCAGTGTTGCTGTTCTGAATGCTTTGATATCACTGCCATCATTAGAGCGTATAGTTTCATTGTTACCATTATTTCTCACATTGATCTTATTCTTGATGTGACTGCCATTACCAGTATTAGTGTTGGATTCTGGCTTGGTTTTCATTAAGCAATAATTGCAATGGTATGACTGTTCTTGCTAGTATTCCAACGATCGATGCTAGTGTTATCACAACGTACTATGATTATCCTTGCTCTTAACATGACTGTTATTAGCAATACTATCACTTGTGGTAGTAGCCTTGCTGTTGGTCTCCAAATTAGTATTACGAGTAGTATGCTTACTGGTGTAATTGTTGTTGTTGTNNNAGTGTCATAACCATGATAAGACTAAGAAGTTGCTGCAGATGCTCGCAGTGCACTTTGTCAGTTTTAGGGTCTTCAGAGACGTTTCTTCCATGATGATACGGATCATAGTATTTGGAGAGATCCCCTCAGTTTGATAAAACTTCCACTGATGCGGATTCAGTTTGAGTTGGTGCTTTTGGGGTTTGCTGCTAAGGCGTTTACTGCTTGGAGGATCTTTGGCCTTTAGGGCGTCTTGGGATCTCAAGCTTAGACGGTTCCCGGCCTGCGCAGACGCCCTCAACATATGGGACTGGCGGTAGTGGCTCCAAACGGCCAGAACCTGCTTGGTGCTCCAGAGTGCTTCAAATTCAGAGCCACGATTACTGTAGACAAGGGCAGTCGGAACTGATACAGCCGTCCGACTGGCTGCTGACTTCCGGCCTTGCTGAAAGCACGCACCCGATCCTGCAAAGAAAACAACGCAGGCAAAATAAAACCATGCCTCCAGCACTCAAATGCATAACAAGACGCAAACGTTGCATCAGGGACAGAAGACGCGTACGCATGCATGCATGATGTAAACAGTCCTTCACAGACAGACATAAAGACAAGCCAGCAGACCAGGCAGCCACGCAGCCACGCAGCCAGGCAGACAGACGTGTGCACCGACACCCAGTGCAGGCATTACTTTCTCCAGATGAATTCTCGTGCAAAACGGAGGAATGCAAGCACGAAGCCACCCGTCCTGTGGTGAGAACTGTGCCGAAGAGTCTGCCTGGCTGCGCATCTCAGAGCTAACTTCGCTTGAAACTGGTGGAAGCTTTTCTTATCTTATAGCTTCGCTCTACCTACACGTTTCAGATGAATGCACACAGATGAAAATATGCCTGCCTCTGCAACAGCTGCACAGCTGTCAGTCCTCTGCCAGCAGACGTGAGCTCTGCACCCTGCTACACTGCTACACACTGCAAAGAGCGCAGATGCTTACAGCTTGAAGTGCATGGCAGCAGGCGCACTCGCCAGATTCCAAGCCCGCGGCGGAAGCGGTGCCGAGCAGCAAAGACCTGAAGGGCAGCTCTCATGCAAGAGATGAGTTGTAACATGGAAAGTTTAAAGAATCCAGCCCCTGAGGCCCGCAACCCAGCAGGGCGACCATTTGCGCGGCAGTGGCCTTCACGGATTGTGATTCAGGGCAAATGGGTCTCTTGCGAAGAACCCAACTCGGGCCTCATCCGTCTGGGCATTTGTCTCCTGCCACGGACTCGTCGAGACCCAGGCTTGAAAGTGTGACTGCGGGGTTGCTCAAGCCCGTCCTCAAAGACGCACTCACAGGCGGCTCTGGCCACGTCACAAAGTGTGCCTGCTAAAGGCCTGCCAGGATCGAAGGAACACAGTTGCATCGCTCTCACGCTGTCTCTGCAGAATGCAACATGCAGCTTACCTCACATTAGATGTTTGTCTGCCTATCTCAAAATAAGTGGCGAGCACCGGCTCAAAGAGTGCACCTCTGCAGCTCCCCTGTTCCGCTCCTCTGGAACACATGAGTCAGGCATGCACCAGGGGAAAAACCCTCGAGAACTTCAGTCCTGTGCTCTTCACAGACGGCCACGACGACGTTGTGGGCAGCCTCTCAGCTCATGCACGAGAAAGCAGGTCCCGAAGCCCCAAAGCATCGCCACGAACATTCCACCCCCAAAAGCAGCAACAGACCCAGCCGGAAGCAGGCTCCTCCCCACCTCCAGGGCAACGAAGGTGGCAGGGCCACCGAACTCAGCACTTCGCAGTATGCGCAGCAGAGGCTCCTGGACCACTTACAGACTACCGCTTTGGGAGCATTTCGAGCTAGGCCCGATGTCCAAGATCTTCACAGACAAATCGGGCGAATTTCTCAGGCACGAATGAGTCTTTGAATTGAAGAGAGCAACTATTCACATGATGATGTCGCTGGCCGTCGCTTTGCACATGTCGGTAACACCTGAGGTATGAAAGCAGTTCTCGCATCGCCTATACTAATACCCCCGGCTGCTCTTCATATTTCAATCGGGCTCACAGTGTGCTGACATCTCTTGTAGATCGAAGTGCGCACCTTAAATCGGCCGACGTTGTGAGCGAATTGAGTGATCCGCTTTGATGTTCAGTTTGCCTTCTCCGGTTCTTAATGGCAAGCATCCCGAAGTTTGGACTCGAAGGTGTCGGGGGTACTTTGACAACAGTGTCACTGCAGAGACTGCGGGACGGTACCAAAGAGAAGGACAAGTCGATGTCGGACTTGCCTCGGCAAAATGATGTGGAGCCTATGCCATTTTTCAACAAAACCCTTCAAGCCTCGATAAACACTGGAATGCAATGGTAAGCCTTCCTGACATGCTCTCCCCGCTCTCCCAAAAACAAAACCCTGGTTACTGGGGCTCCAGAAGCTCAGTCGCACCGCCGGAACCCAGGCGCCAGGTGCAAAGCTGCCGCAGAGGGGAGGCCTCCTATGACAGAGAAGCACACTCATCGGCTCTTCGTATGTATCTTGTCGTGAGTTTGCGCACTCCACAACAACGAAGCACCTGAAAAGAGTGCACAAACTGATAGGTCGGACTGCTCACGCCGCACGGGGGGCTTGATGCTTGCTCCCGTTGAAGAGGGAGATAACCCTCAAGTAGCTATGTCTGCTTTATGCTGACCAGTTCCAAACGGATACACAATCCTCCTGACTGGAGTAAGATTCTAAGGTACTTCGGGGGCACAAAAGTTGCCACCGCTCTGAGCCTCACGTCAAGCTAGATTTTGGAAAAAGGGAAGACTCTTCGTCCTGCTTTGACACTCAGGATCGCAACGGGAAAACAAAACACGTTCGATTAACTGAACTGTTTGTCAGCCTCTTCAACATGAAACTCGAGATTGAGGGACTGTGAACTCTGATACAGAGGTCACTGGCAGCAAAGAAAGCAGGTGGCAGGGAGGAATGCCAAAAAACTCTGACCTCGTGTCGCCAGGAGCGATTCTGGCTCCAGTGTCGGTTGGCCCGCAGGGCCGTGGTGACTCGCTGCGCCTGAAGTTGAGGTATGTTGAGGTTTCGCGGCCGGGAGCCGCTTACAAAGCTTCTGGTTGTCAGTTGCCACTGCTGTTGTCACATCTGCAGGCTTCGAGCATCATAAATACAGAATCATTCGTTGCGGATTCCGGCTGCAAGCCTTCATGTCGCGGCTTGAACCTCATCTGTGGACCTGCCTCACTGCGGCAGACGGCATCCAAATCAGAAGCCATGGCACGAGAAGGGCGGCTTGAACAAGGACTTACAGCACCGACTTGAACATTTATGCTCGTGACCCAGCACTGTTGCACCCTTTCATAAGGGGCCCAGCCACTGCGTTGCTTGCGCAAGAAAAACTAAGAGACAGCCCAACGACTGGTCATACGCAAAGACATTGCAGGAGTGGGGCTTGGGGGCTGAATGCACGAGCCGTGTCTACGTCCTGGCTTCATGCCGAGGTTTGATGGAGCAGGCTCGCTCAAGCCGCAGATCCTGCTGCGGAGGCCAGATCAAGCCAGTCAGAGCGCCTTATTATGGATCTCTCGTTCCAATTGTTCCATCGTGCATTGGGCGCCTTCAGTCCTGTGTTTTCGCCCTTCGCGGTCTGCTTACGTCCGGTGCTGCGGGAGTGTGACGACGGCCATTGTTTGCAGGGAATCCCGAGCCTCTGGGCTTCGCAGGCTCTCTGCATAGCTCTGCCTCCACCGGGACGCCAATTACAAGAGCACTTTCGCCGCGCACCGGAGAACTTCTGCTGGGCGAAGTCGAGCACGAAGTGGGGCCGCACGCTGGCCGGGCCGGACATCACGGCCAGAGAGGCTTTCGTCATGCCGGCTTCTCTGAGGGTGGCATGAAGGACTCTAGGGAGACCTGCACATTCTGGCTCGGCTGACCGTCTCTCCATGCCTCTCTGTCTTTCGCTTTCCTTATGTCTTTGTCGGTCGTTGTAGCTCTCGGGAGCTTACTGAGAGGCACCTGGCCAGCTTGGACTCGAGCTGCTGCATCGATGTGCAGCTCAGCCGATCGGAAGAGAGGAACATCTGGCACCTGGCAGAATTAGGGCTGCCTCGTAACCCCAGACAAACTGGACAGCAGAATTGCTG